AGGTGTCTGGTAACTTTAGTTGGTATCATTGGGTGGGAGCATATGATAGGAAGAAGTCAACATAAACATTTTTAAATTGGGAGGTCCAAGGAATCAACTAAGCCAAAATGTCTAGTGAAATGACAGATTGTACAAATAAATAGTCACCATGTTTCAAGGCTGCATATGGAGAACAAATTTTAGAGCTAAATATTTCTTTTGAGCAGCTCCAGCAGTTCTTCAGCTCCAGCTCCATGCTAGGAAAAAGACGATCCTATTTAAGCCACGACTCTCCCATCTTTGGCCTGGTATATCTTTCTAACAGGGAGATTTATTTCTTATGGACAAGTCTTTATTTAAATTTATGCATAAGTAATAGTGATCACTTTGAAGTGGAGTTTTTTAAAAAAGGCTAGATATAATCCTTTTAACACACTCCAGCAGTTCTCCCTCTCCCTTCCCCCATCTCCTTCTCAGCCTGGTTCCTTTTTGACTTAGGTAGGTGCGTGTTTATTTTTGGGACCATCTTGCCTAGAGAACCTGAGCTTCAGCACAGGGGATTTTGACAGGTTTTCTGATATTACCGGGCATAGAAAGAACCTTCTGTTTTCTCTGCAGCACGGGAGACAAGAGATGGGGCTGTTATGGAACCAAATGCCAATATTTTTATGAAGCTCCATTGATACTGATTGGCTTTCCTCAGTCCAGCTCCTGGGGTGTGATGGGCTTTTGGCTTTGCAGCTTTGGGATTCTGTTGCTGCAGTCCTGTCATATCTGGGAGATGCAAAGTTTGCTTTTTAAGAGGAATTATACAAGTTCATAGAAGAGATTTTTCAGCCTCTGTCAGCTGGGATAACATAACTGAACTAGAACAAGTTCAAGGCATTTTGATTGAGGTCAAAGGCAAATTGATGCCCCTATTGTGTTGTCTTCTATTCTGAAATTGATTGGACAGAGGGTTTGGTTTTCTTTTATCCCTGATAATGAACTAGAGAGAGACAAGGTCACTTAGGGTTCACAAAACAGTGCTTCCACGGGCCTCATCTTGTACCGTCCATTTTGCCTAATGGCAGATTCAGTGGTGAACCACACTACCTGATGCTGAATGTAGACAAGAGGAGGTAACTGTTCATTATTCTGTGTTCATAAAATTCCCAAAATGATTTGGTTTGGCTGTCGTGTGAGGTGGTCTTTGATCTGATCTTTTTTTTTTTTTTTTCATATACCACATGTCACTTGTACATGCTATTTCAAAGAGGCTTGTTCCATGGGCTCAGATTGATGAATTTAAAGTCCTAAATCCACTTTCCAATTTAAGCATGGATACATTAGAGTAGTCCATAAAACACCAAAGCTGATACAGAAACCATGTGTCTGCAGCTCCAGACTAAATGACTGATTGCATTTACCCGCTGTGGACCACTGTTTTTAAATTGCTGGATTCACACATCAACTGAAATTACATTGTAGTTTCTTTGCTTTGGGCTTAGCACGATGTGTAAACCCAGTTAAACATAAACTATAAGTATTATAAATTATATTAATCAACCAACTATGGCTTTTAAAATCCTGACTTAGCATGTCATATGTGAATTCAGCTATGAAGCACCAGAACAGACGTATATAGCAGAATGTTGGTTAGTCAGTGAGCCAAGTTTGATTTATTGATTATATGCTGTCTAGTCATTTTCAGCTCCTAGCAACCACACTCATAGATTTTCTCTATGACAATATCCCTAACCTGTTCTTTTATGTCTCCCAATAGACCACTCATCACCACTATAACTAAATCCATCTACCTTGCTGCTGGTCAACCTCTTAGCTTCTACCTTTCCTAGCATTAAAGTCCTTTCCAGAGAGCCGAGTCTTTCTATATTGTATTCAAAGTAGGATAATTTGAGCTTGGTCTCGAGTGAGCCTCGAGTGAGAACTCTGGGCTAATATGTTTGATGATCCATCAATTTGTTTTCTTGTCAGTCCACGGTACCCTCAGCCAAGTTACGTTTCTAATGTTTTTTAAGAGTACAATAATGGGATCATTAATTATACTGTATCTTGCCCTTTAATAGATCAGATCTACCAAGCCTTACAAACAAACAAAAATTAGCTTTTCTCAATGTCTGTACCTTAGTAATAAAATACAAGCATAATAAGAATCTATAACTCTTTTTGTTATGCCCTAAGATATTATGGTACAGTTATACTTATATACAATGGCTCTGATATGATAGAAAGACACTGATACGCTGTTTATACTGTTACCATTCTTAACTTGTGAAGAAGTTAAAAGTGAAAGGTAATGGTTTTTTTAGAAAACATCCTGAACTTATTTGCAGGGACTTACTGATTAATAGCTCACATTCTTGATAATTATTCTAGTTCTAAAGAATTGCAGCAAGAGCATAATACATAGAAACAAATGTTGCATCTCAATGTTTTCAGTTCTTTAGAAAATCAATAATATTTATTCGGTCAATGACCAGCAAAATTTAAATGAACAAAACAAACAAAAGCCGAGTGAGGCAAATAAATGCAATAATATGTTAATTAATATACTATACCAATAGTATAGTTTAGGAAAAATTAAACCTCTAGGCTTTAGAGAAGAGCTGTGGAAGGGAAATTTTGAATTCCCACTAGCTGTAGTCAATGAAAAGGGATAAGGAGACTTGAACTATAAAATATAATAAGAGCATGACCTTATTATTACCTGCATTACTGAATCAGACATATGAAGAAACACAACTGTTTACTGAGTCTTCCAGATTTGAGCTGCAGAAATCCTGATGACCACCAGATAGCAAAAAAGAGTTAGAATTTGCTGAATTTCATTCCTACTGTTTAGTCGCTATCCTGATTTTTGGAATCAAACCTGGGAGGCCTAATATTCTTTAATATATTATTAATATAGTTACTCAGATTCACTTATAGTTGGATCTGACTGGCTGTTCCCACTGAGGGGCCTGAAACATAGTTTGGATTTGTTAGATGGGACAAGTTTACACCTGTGACTCCCAGGGAAGGAGATGGAATCCTCAAGACTGCTCGCCCAAACAACCATTTGTTTATTATATCTTGCCCAGTGGTGAAATGTAAAATTTGTTACTACCGGTTCTGTGGGTGTGGCTTGTGGGGGGGTAATGTGACTGAGTGGGCGTGGCCAACTCTTTTTTTTTTTTTACACTTTACTTTTAAAAGCTTTTTTTTTTTTTGGCCAAAGAGGTTGTAGAAAAAATGCTTTTAAAATTTTTTTTAAAAAAAGCCTCTGATGATCGCGTGGCTCAGCTGGGCATGGGGGGGGGAACAGGAATTTTTCCTACCGGTTCTCCGAACCACCCGCTGCCATCGCTACCGGATCGGGCGATTCGGTCTGAACTGGGAGCATTTCACCCCTGATCTTGCCCCCTCCTTACTTGTTAGATAGTGTGTAGTTTGTCCTTGTTATAGGGTCAGTTTCTTTGAGGTAGGAATGGTTCTGCCAGTATTGAAGCATGATAGTGCACTTTCTTCTCAAAAAGCTGTTGGGACTCAAGTGATCTGGACTGTCCTTCAGACAGTCATTCATGGATTGGTCATCTTACACGAGTAATTATGGGATGTCTCAGTATGCCCATGTAACATTGCACAGTCTGCTGGTAGTTTTCCAGGTGCAATTAGGATACTGATTATCATCTTTAAAGCCTTTTGTGGCCTAGGGCATAGCTATTTGAGGGTCCATTTATTTTCAGGTAGACTCTATTTTCTATAGTCTACCTGATATTTTTTACCTGTTCGATTTCACAGAGTTGGCATGTTCTGACATATTGGCATATTGGGTCAATGAAACCCAGGAAGTATACTTTCTTGGTCACTACCTGCCTCTGGAACAGCATTTTCCCTGAAATTTGTATCCCCCCACCAACCTTGTTTTAAAAACTCCTTAAAATCTGGATTTTTGCCCTGAGCTAATTTGGGTGGTAGGATCCTTCAGAGAGCACTTGCATGAGACTGAGACAGAAGATTGTTCTTGATTATTGCTATAATTTCTTATTAATTGTTACCTGTTTTTAGTATTGTACACCACCTTAGAATCATTTCTGAACTGAATGGTTGTACAAAGCTAATGAATAAATAATAAATATTTAAATAAATAATGTGCAAGTGTTCATTGCATGTGGGCATTACTGAAGGAAATACAATCTGGGCAATATTCCAGGGCACTGTTTGAAATGTCTTGATAGCCTCACATCTGCTGCCTTTTCCAGGCCTCTTGATTCTTGGCCTAACAACAGGCCTTTCCCCTTTACCAAGATAAGATGCTAGTCCCCCATCATTGGGGATGAAGGTGAGCCAATAATTTAAAGCATTTTGTCCAAATCTCTGCAGAACAAATAACAGAATCACAGTGAAGAAACCAACTGGGGATGGGATGGGTCTCTCACATCGACTAAAACATTCAAAAGTGATTATTCCACTACTGGTTACATGACTTTGTTTCTAGCATCAGAAGTGCTGGAAAAAGTAATTAATTTCATACACTTTTGGGCTGCTGGTACATAATGTGAGAATAAGGGGGGAAATGCTGCTTTAACACCAGTACAGCAACAGGTGTCTGGAGACAAGAGGAATTATCCCCCCTCACAAGAAGAAGGGGGATAATTGCTAAAATAGTTCTTCCTTGGTTAAATGCATGTAGAATTCAGCCAACGTGTCTGTGCTCAAAAATATTTCTTTTTTTCTTCCTCCTATTTTTATTTATTTTTTATTTTTTTATTTTATTTTATATGTATTCATAATAAGCAGGCATAGACAAAACTGTATTTCATTCATATATTTCATCCTGGTTTTTGTGGTTTTGAATTGCAAAAAATTAGAATTTAGGAGGAAAGATTCAGAAATTAGGTAATGTTATAACCAGCATGTTACATGTACATGTCAGTGAATTAGAACGTTTTTAAATTTTTGTTCCAAAGTCAAGAGAATGGGAAGGACTCAAGATAAAACATGAATAAGAAATCTGTTCTTTCTTTTTATCTTTATAGGGTCTCCTCTTCAAGCTTTTGACCCAGAATACTTGCAATTTGCCAACAGTGAAGGAGACCACAATGGGGCTTGCCTCATAGCATAATAGCCCCTCCTCCCTCAAATATCAAATCCACATCTGTCGTGGCGACCGTGGAGTGTTGCCTCTGGGGGCGGAGCCCACCTTGGTCTCTCTTTATTGATCCTGGATGGAATTGCGGTGAATGGAACAGAAGCCCAGCACGGTGGAGTGCCTATCGGAGCCAGAGGACACCCGGTAAGGTCATCAAATTGATGGCAGTCTACAGAGCATTAAAACAATTAGCGAACGTTGGAGATTTCCTTCAGTGACATTTTCAAAACCTCTATTTAGTTCTGAATTTGTCCTAGAAATGCACATGGTAAAAAGCTCTATTCTTGTTGATGGGACACGCTAAAAAGTAGCTGTGTGCTGAAAATTTAAAAATTAAATTTCTACAAAGATCTCCGGGATCTTTTGAAGTATCTTTTGAGTATTCTTGATTCTCAGTTATCCCAATTTGACCCATTTCTGATTGTCCTGCAATACCTCATTAACTTTTAGGGGGAACAATGGGGAATATAAAGTTTTTGGTTTTTTTTTAACAGTAACAGAGTTTGAATTAGACCTCTGATTTTAGTGTTTTTCCATTTGATGTTACCTCTGCTGCTCTCTGCATTCTCATCATGAAACATACAATTTAGCATCATATTAAGAATTCAGTGTTCAAGAATTCAGAATTCAAAAGCAGTTTTTAATGCTTTTTAAAAGTAGATCTAAAAATTTGGCAACTTCTCACTACCAGTTTTTTTTTTTTTTTAATTGTAAGTCTTTCCTCATGGCTCAGTCAAAATGCTACTCACTCATCCCTGAACCAGCAGAAAACTAAACCAGCATAATACTTGCTGACTCCTATTCTGCCTTTCAATCCTCAGTTCTGGTGACATCCTGATTTCAGTGTACAGGCATGTTAAGCAAAGCCTTTGGTTAACTTTCTGTTTTTGGCCGTCTTCCCTTTTCTGAACATCACCAGCTGGCAGCAGATGATCACAACACTGCTAAACACCAGAGATTTAGTCATTTGTCAAAATCTAGTACTTCCCCAAGTTCATTATATGAAGCGATGAAACAGGAGTGATACTTCAAACCTGCTCCATCCCAGACTCCACAAACCAGATATCAGAGATGCTGGTTTTGAGAATTGGTTTAGTATTTTTTTTTCAAATGGGTACCAAACCCACTTGAAAACAAGCCTGTGGGCAAATAATAATGAGAAGGGGGAATCTTCTCTTTATATAGAGAGAAGTTTCACTCTCTCTCTATAGAGAAACTTTATATATATATATTTGTAGATTTTCACGGTACAGGTATGCAAGTTTTGGCATATTCGGGTCTTTTCCCGTGTAAGATTGAGAGTATCTTGGCGATGTTTCGACGAGGTCCCACTCATCATCTTCAGGCTGCTGTCTTCGGCGTCATGCCATTTGCTCGCACAGGCACGAAGCTGAAGACACCAGCCTGAAGATGACAAGTGGGACCTCGTCAAAACGTCGCTAAGATACTCTCAATCTTACACGGGAAAAGACCCGAATACGCCAAGGCTTGCATATATATTATATTATATTATATTATATTATATTATATTATATTATATTATATTATATTATATTATATTATATTATATCATATCATATCATATCATATCATATCATATCATATCATATTATATTATATTATATTATATTATATTAATTGTATATTTATTTATATTACATTATATTAATTACATTACATTACATTACTATATTATATTATATTATATTATATTATATTATATTATATTATATTATATTATATTATTTATAATCGCATTGGTTGATGATCTCTGGAGGGCTTGGGACAGGGGTTGTTCCTCTGTCCTGGTCCTATTAGACCTCTCAGCAGCTTTTGATACCATCGACCATGGTATCATGCTGTACCGGCTAGAGGAGTTAGGGGTGGGGGGCACCATCCTACGGTGGTTCTCCTCCTTTCTTTCTGACCGGTCGCAGTCCATGTTGACAGGGGGGCAGAGGTTGATCCCGAAGCCCCTTATATGTGGGGTGCCACAAGGGTCGGTCCTCTCACCCCTTCTGTTCAACATTTATGTGAAGCCGCTGGGTGAGATCATCCGTGGTTTCGGGGTGAAGTACCAACAGTACGCTGACGACACTCAGCTGTACATCTCCACCCCAGACCACCCCAATGATGCCTTGAAGTGATGTCCCGGTGCCTGGAGGCTGTGCGGATCTGAATGGGGAGAAACAAACTCAGGCTCAACCCATCCAAGACCGAGTGGCTGTGGTTTCCGACATCCTGATATAGTCAGTTGGTGCCATCACTGACTATTGGGGGCGAGTCATTGGCCCCCATGGAAATGGCTCGCAACCTGGGTGTCCTCCTGGACTCACGGCTGTCTTTGGAAAAGCACTTGACGGCTGTGGCCAGGGGGACTTTTTATCAGGTCCGCCTGATTCGCCAGTTGCGTCCCTTTCTGGATCGGGACTCGTTAAATATGGTCACTCATGCTCCCTTTACTTCCCGCCTGGACTATTGCAATGCTCTCTACATGGGGCTCCCCTTGAGGAGCACCCAGAGGCTCCAGCTGGTTCAGAATGTGGCCGCGCGGGTGGTTATGGGAGCGGCGTGGCACTCCCATGTGACCCCCCTCCTGCACGAGCTGCACTGGCTCCATGGCATTGGACCGGGGTATTTACGAGACCGCCTTCTGCTATCAGTAGCCTCTCACCGACCAGTATGCTCCCATAGAGAGGGGCTTCTCAGGGTGCCGTCGGCCAAACAGTATCGACTGGCGGCCCCCAGGGAGAGAGCCTTCTCTGTGGGGGCACCTACCATCTGGAACGAGCTCCCCCCGGAGATACGGAGGATCCCGGATCTGCGCACGTTTCGTCGTGCTCTCAAAACATTTTTATTTCAGCAGGCTGGCCTGGCCTAACTTTCCCTTTTAAATTTTTAAATCGTTTTACAAATTGGGTGTTTTAAATTTGTTTTCGGCCAAAATATTTAATAATTTTAATGGACTTTTAATGTTTGTATTATCTGTATTTTATCTTGGCTGTTCACCGCCCTGAATCCTCTGGGAGTAGGGCGGTATAGAAATTTGATAGAAAATAAATAAATAAATTTATTATATTATATTATATTATATTATATTATATTATATTATATTATATTATATTATATTATATTATATTATATTTATTATATTTATTATATTATATTAATTATTGTCATTGTACGTATGTACACAGTATACCCATACAATGAAATTCACATAACACCCAGAGTCCAAGCCCAACACACTTTTTTTTTAAAATTTATTTATATGCCGCCCTTCTCCGGAGACTCAGGGCGGCTTACAATGTGCTCAGCAATAGCCTTCATCCTTTTGTATATTTATACAAAGTCAGCTTATTGCCCCCACAACTGGGTCCTCAATTTACCTACCTTAGAAAGGATGGAAGGCTGAGTCAACCTTGAGCCTTGGCGAGATTCGAACCTGCAGTAATTGCAGGCTGCTGGTCTTAATAACCAGCTTAATAACAGGGTGCCTTAGACCACTGTACTACCAAGGCTCTTGGTAGTACAGTCACACATGACAATCCCCAGACACACTTCCATCCACCAAAATTCCCCACCCCTAAACCACCCAAATATCCACATAACAGACCAAGTAATTCTAGCAGTGACATCACTCTTTTTACACAGAGAAAAAATTATGGGAGTCATAAGGCACATAAGGGAAAGGATTGTATACACCAACGTAATCTATAGATAGTGGGCTGTACTTTTGCTAACATGGATAGTTAAGATGAACAGATTGTATGCATCTTGAAATTATCACTGGTTCCTGGCAATTTAAGGGAAAACATCTGTACAGCTAGTCATGACTGAGGACAGAAGAAAGGAAACACTATGGGGATATGGCAGATCAGAGATGTTGCCAGAGAATGAGTTGTACTTTGATAAGATGTAAATGAGAAAAGCTGGGTGGTTCTTGTTCTTATTTTAATCAGAATTAATTATGAACTAGAAAAGCCAGTAGGCAGCTCCTAATTGTTAGTGTGAGGATAATATTGCATTGCATTGCTACAATGGTTCTCAAAGCATGGCTTGTGCCTTCCTGTGAGTCATTTGAAGGGCACTCTCCCCACTTTGCTCAGATGCAATAATATTTTGTAAAATTGCTGGCTCTGGACTGGCTGTGCAGAGAGTCAGGTACTTGGACAATGTCCTTGGCACTCACAGCAGTGGCTCCTGTAAAAATCCTGGCTTGTTTCAGAGAGCTATCCAAAATAACCTGTCCAGGATCTTTGAGGCCCTCTTGCCTCAAAGTTTCCTTCCTCTATTTTTAAAGGCAGCGTGATACTCATCTTCTTCATGGGCTTTAGGTTGGGTCTTGGCATTGACCCTAAGTGTCCTCTTAAGTAGGCAAAGCACTGCATTTCAGTTTCTTGCAAAAAGACAACACTTTGTGGCAGTGAGCCAGCATACTCTATAGCAAATCTTTCTGAAGTCCATCCCTTCACAAACAATCCCATGGAGACAGCTCTCTTACTGGTAGATATTTTTCGGTAAAGGGGTATATCTCCCTCTCTTTGTTGTATTTTAAGGAGAGATTGGACAACTATTTGTCTGAAATGTTATAGGGTTGTGATGGCGAACCTATGGCATTCGTGCCCGAAGTGGCATGCAGAGCCATGTCACCCGGCATGCACAACCTTGCCCGTTGCTCTTCCGGGTTCCTGGCACACATGCATGTGCAATGATTAGCTGGTCTTCGCGTGCACGGCAGTGCTGGAAATGGGAAGAGCTGGTCTTCCGGTTTCTGTGCGCGCATGCGTGCCAGCCAGTTGACTGTTGCACGCGCATGTGCACCAGAAACCGGAAGAGGAGCTGCCTGGCGTGCATGCGTGCGCTGGAAACTGGAAGTTCTGGTTTCCGGTTGCACATGCGCACCGGGCAGCTCCTCTTCCAGGTCGCGTCCCTGACAAGCGAGCGTGTGCGTGTGCGCTCCCTTTTCGGCACTCAGTGCCAAAAAGATTCGCCATAACTGTTATAGGGTTTCCTGCTTGAGCAGGGGATTGGATTAGAAGACCTCCAAGCTCCCTTCCATCTTTATTTTTCTGTTATTCTATTATATCAAATGGCTTCTTTTTATGATTGTTGGCTAATTCATGTGTGATTCACAAAAAATA